GTGCTATCTGTTGCAGTAGCGTTTGCGCCCACCCAGGAGGGCTCGTCGATTCCTAGTGCTGCATAGCTGCCAGGGGTTGTGTAGCGTGCCGGTAATGCTTCGGTCGCTTTTCGTCTACCTTCCGCTTCCAATGTGCCAATGATCTAATATGCCTAGGAATTGAGGTCTTCTAGGACTTTCCAATACGTCTCGAGCGCTAAGAGTTTATGCGCGAGGATTCCGTTCTAATAGGTGTTCGTCGCTGAATCGCTGGGGATTCAGGGGTATTTCCAATGAGTGCCTAGGTCGTTTTCCTAGGACTTTCCAATGACCAATGATACTTCTAGGTGTAGAAAGAAGCTTTTTGTATGTGAAGGGGCTGAAGTAAGACTTGATTCAATCTGACTAGGCCAACATGCTGTTTACAAAAAGCTTAAGGAGAAGAAGTTTATCCCGTGCGTTCCCCACGTCAACATGCCAAGGTCTCGTGATACACGTGACCTATATCGGGCACTGGCCCGTGACACTAAGGACCTTTAACTAGGTGATTTATACGCAGAGGTAACCGACCGGCTTCCTAGTACAGAGATTATAGCATTAGATAAATTTCTAGACCCTCCAGGAGAAAACATCGACGTGGAAGAGCCTAATTTATCTAATATTATCGTTCATTTTTCAGAAGAAAATACAGGTAGGGATAATAGGGTTCAGGATAGCGAGGACGACCAGGACGAATATATATTCAGACCACCGCTAGATATCCTCTCGCGTGTTGAAGCTATTAAATATATGCATAAAGCTCTTCAATTTACCCAGCACCAAGAGGGAATTACTGAGAGAGATCTACGTGATATAGAGAGGATCGCTCATCTTTTTTCTCGATTCGAGATCAATGGGAGGAAGCAGAGAAGGGTGGATGACTACTTTAGACCAAAAACAGACTAGTTCTTACTAGATGAGGTTTAGCGCGATATTAGTAGCACACTTTCATTAGGCACATCGGAATTCTGTTACACGGAGGCCCGTGCCGAAAATGGGAGTTTACTGTAGCGGTTTGGCTTGACAAGAATATAGGGACCACGGAAAAGTCCTTACACCACCCTTAGCAAGCTCTACCGTCTATCAAACTGGTCACTAAGTCATGGTATACGGCGCCTAAATTAGACGAAGAACAACCTGCTGAATTCAGTACACATGGATAATGCGGTCACAAGGAAGACCTTTTGGCACTACAGCTTTGCTATAATGGATGGCTTCCTAGATGATTTCTGGGCGGATCTTTTGCCTGGCAGTATGTTATACTTGGTATTGGAGTATGCATGCGGTCTAAAGGTAGATATACTGTAATCTGGGCTTTGACCCGCACGATTCAAAGCCAACGCTACTCTTTTCCATACCAAGGAGGAAGTGATCTGGTGGCTGCTTGGGTTCTCGGATACGTGCTAATGTGGGAAGAAAGGACGTCGAGGCCCAATAAACTTGGAATAGTCAGCAACGGCCAATTGGGTAAAGGTCACAGGTAGATCTTCCAAGATAATCAATCGCATCTGAGTTTGTGTTAGGGCTTAACGTAGCAACGGTCTGGTTGCGAGATACTTTTGGGATATACAACCCATTTAGAATTTGATGAGAATTCATTGGGTCATATCCGCCGAGCACGGATATGATGGTCATTTTGGCTTACGTTGGTTATCATGTGGCCCAGTGTGATATTGTAAGAGTAGTGTAAAAGGTTGTGAGATACTCTTAGGCTCAGCAGTTAACAACAGTAGGCAAGTATCCCAGATAACTCCAGTGACTACGCAAAAGTATTTGTAACCCCCCTAGCCCCACACCTAGACCGCCTGCTCAGACCAGGTAGCGGAATTCACTCGTAGCCAATCACCTGGCTTATGGTGAGGCTTTCCGACTGGCAGAATATTATATAATCAAGCTGATGTGGGGCGGGAGTGCAAATACTTTTGCGTAGTCACTGTCCATTCACAAAAACCAGTTGGCGTCGCGTAACTAGCGACAACTAGGTAGTCCTTAAAACGGCCAGGTGGTCCTTAAAACGGCCAGGTGGTCCTTAAAACGGCCAGGTGGTCCTTAAAACGGCTAGGTGGTCCTTAAAACGGCTAGGTAGTTCTTAAAACGGCCAGGTGGTCCTTAAAACGGCCAGGTGGTCCTTAAAACGGCTAGGTGGTCCTTAAAACGGCCAGGTGGTCCTTAAAACGGCTAGGTGGTCCCCAGTTACGCCTTGCCAATTGGTTACTGTGAATGGAGTTGTCTAGGATTATACTTGGCTCATTCTACAGTGGTGTTATGATATTCCTCGATGGGAGGTTGTTCGCTTAATGTGGAGAATGTCTCTTTGCTAGCCAATATTTCCACTCTCTCCTGTACCATTTTTGAACACTGAGTGCGTTGAAGTCCGATGACAATTTCACCGTTTCCTTGTGTTGACCAAAATCTGTTAAACCTCTTCATAAACGGTGATCAAATTTCATCTTATAGTATTTTTATCGATTTCATTACGGTCATATCAGTTTATTTTCACTGGATTTTCGAAACGGCAGTACACTTAACCAAAAGTCCTGATATCTTTGCACCTCCCTTTCAAACGCCAACCTGCGTTAAGGTTCGGTCACATTTTCACCAGCCCCCATTTTTTCCTCACTTTGAGCCTACTGTAAGTTGAATCTCTGCGTTGATGGTGGACCGAACTTATCTCTACAGTAAACTGTCTTCATCAATCATATTTCTGGCCAAATTGGTTTATTTTTCGGATGCGACCGGGCATCGCAATGCACTTGACCAAAATCCAGCTTTTGTACAGCCTTTTAGCATGGGCATTCTAATATTGACATGTTTACAGCACCTACCCAGGAAGGTCGGCCCTTTGTTCACATGGCAAAATGGCCTTGAGGCGGGTCTGGGTCCTGGCACGGTGACTAGGAGGAAGGTCGAATATATGACGAGGATCCACCGACTTGTATCCACTACTTGATCGAGTGGAAGGTCACTCTCAATAACAGGACGGTGGCGAAAGACACAGAACAAGATCTGGTCCTAGCCCCTCGTTTCCACTGGAGGCTCTTTTTGCAACCAAAGCTAAAGGAGCTACTCCAAATCCTTCTTTTCTTGAGCAATCCGTAGCTCATTAATCTGTCCCTGACGCTTGAACAGCAGGCGCCAGGCGGTCTCGGGTTCGGCCTGAATCCAGGCGATCAGTTCGTCAACGGTGTTTACCTCAACACCGGTATCATCCTGCTGGGCTCCGAATACCAGCGAGGTTCTGCGTGCGCTCTTCTCTCGTCTCGAGCGACTTCGTTCGGTCACCTTCTCAGCCATTTTCTACTGAGATTCGGGGTTCTTCGGTTCGGTTTTAAAAAGAGGGAGTTGCCGGGTAGCAGGAGATCGCGTGTGTACGCGTTTCCTCGCTCAGCCAGTCAACTGGAAAGAGATAAAGATGAAGAGACTTGATTCTATGTTACGAGCCAAGCGAAGTTGGGCAAAAGCTTTCATTCGGTGCATCTAACGAAGGAATCAAGTCTGGAGAGGAAAGAAGAAGAGAAGATGGGGACGGTGGGGGATCCTCTTCTTATATCCCACTTCGGCCTGAGGCATCCTCTGCCAGCAAACTTCCCCTTTCGGATTCTATGCCTCCATCACCAAACCTCTAAGCAAACACCATCAGCTGACCCTCAGTCACATGCTTCTATCTTAGTCATCACACGCTCAATCGTTCACACGCTCAATCGTCACAAGGGGGACAAAATTTCGTGTAAAAGTTGAAGACAGATCTTGGCTTCCTCAGCTTGAACTGAGTAATAGTCTCCAGCACCGCGAAGAGGTGTCTGTCATTTGCTGGAGGGCGGGCGCGGAACGTCTCATCACAGCCCGACCCAGTACTTGACCCAGGATTTGTGCAAGACCAGCGGTCTGCGTGTGGAACTGAATCCGACCTGGGCCGTAAAGGAGCATAGCTCAGGATTTTTTACCTGGTACTTGATCCAGGATTTGTGCATGACCAGAGGCCTGCGTGTGGAACTGAATCCGACCTGGAGCGTCCTCCAGGATTTGTACATGGACTGCAGCCTCGACCGTAGTGGGCTATACACAGGAACCGCAGCCTCGACCTCAGTGGGCTTGCAGGTGAGAAGGAATCAGCAGCGGACAACGTACCTTTTATGTTTTCTACCACGGGGTTCAGTAGATACCAAGCACGCAAATGTGGACATCAGACCCTTGTTGTGGCGCCTAGCCCGCAGGTGAGATTGGCCAATCCGAATTATACGCCAGACGGGAAATTGCACTGAGGGCGCCATGTCACACCAACACTAATACCATTCTGATCTACTGGGCTACTGACCGTCGACCTGAGCCACACACAAGTACTCGTGACTCTTGCGTCATTGATGATGCGCAGATGAAGCAAGCCGCGGACAATTTGGGTTGTGTGTTCCTTGCTCACTGGAATCAGTGACCACTGTCCTTTCTGAACACAGTAGCCGTTTTGGCTAGTACAGTGCAGCGAGAAGTGTATTTTCCCGCCTTTAAAACCGTGCAAAACGATCTTTGCACCAACACCAGATACGCTGCCTCGGCACAATGACAAGATAGTTTCCCGGATAATCAACATGGGAATCTAACCAGGTGTGGCGGGTGAACTTGGCGTATATTGTACGCCAATATGACGGTATTTTGTTGTGTTCATTTCCATTTCTAGGGAGATACGTTTCCGGGTGGGGTACTCAAGCAGGGCAGAAAATAATATAGCGAAATGGTAGGTACGCTATGACTTCCTTTCATATTCAACTGTCTGCCTCGATCAAACCATGCCCATTTCGGCTCCGCGGTAGATCATCTCATTCCTTTCCCGTGGCTGCCTTCCTCAGACTTTAATGTCAGCTACTTCAAAAAATCCTTCAGCTACCGCTACATGGTGGACGACGTGGCTGTGTGGCCGTCAATGAGGAAAGCCGTCAATCAACCTCTAAAGTACAGTATCCCAGTCATGCGGGAATGAAAATGTAACATTACCCTCCCATTTTTCGCTTATTCGCTTCCAAGAATTGCTCCTGCTCTAGTCGGCTCTTCTTCAGATCCACGCCCACGAATAAGATGCAGAAACTCAACAGGCTCAATCCGAACAGGAAGTAAAATGGCATCGATGAGTTTCCGGAAGGCGAGGCATCGATGATAGCGCTGGAGACAATTGGTCCAATGAATGAGGATGTTTTTCCAACAATGCTGAACAGACTAAAAAAGAGATATTCATAGCCTCGGGGAGTCACTTCGGATATCATAATTTGCGAGTAACTGTACCAGGGGCAGATCAAGAGACCGTAGAAGGCCTGGTAGAACTAAGGAGATTGTTATTATACGCACGACCTGGTACAGAGTCTTCTGTGTAACGAAAGGAAGACAAGGGAAATCAGAAACTTACCCACACTTCCCATGTGTGATGGAAACCAAATTTGCTAGACCAAATGCCTATCATACCCCAGCCGTCCAGAATAATGATAGAAAATGCAATGGCATTGAACATGGTCTTTGTACCGAGTTTATATCGTGGTTGGATGAACCAGAACGCGTAAATTCCAACGGCCTGCGATAGTAAGTTAGATCCCGGCTTATCAGTACTTCAGACAGCACTCACCTGAGCTGCAATGCCAACTATCAGGAGGTATGTTAATTGTAATGTATTGTATGCCACAATACTATTTTGCAGAGTGGAAATCACAGTAACAGTCGTGTTCAGAGAATCGCCCAACAAGAAGTAACCTTAGAGTAAGGTCAGTTTGCAGTTCAAGCAATAAAACCGGTTTATGTTGTACCCACCAACAAGATAAAGCAAGGTCTGTTTCAACTGGAAAACCTGACGTATGGTATGCGAAAGTCGGGATAACCCAGCAAGAGCAATATTCCTCCTTCCAGGATCTTGACCAGGTCTCCTCTTTTCCAAAAAGAACCAAGGCAACGAAAAAAGTAACCAAACTCCGCTCGCAAAGGCAACAAGCACACTCAACCCCCAATTATTGTTCGCTGTGCTCGAATTAACATCAACCCCAAACATGATCCCCACAATAACAGCCAGAATCCCTATCTCCCCTAACGATTGGACATAAAACGCAACATTCGCCAACTGACTCCTCTTCATCGTATCTGCAAATTCATATTCCTCCCTCGAAATTCTGCCAGAAGCAAGCTCATCAGCATGATTTATCATTTCCGAGGTATTCCTAGCAAGGGAAGGGAATGCAGCCGTCCAGAATGTCAAGGTAGTTTGATAGGCGATCAGTCCGACGATATAGAGACCAGCACCTATATGCCACTTGTCTTCGGTATGGACACCCAACCAGGCGAAGCCGATCGCGTAAGCGATTATCGAGAGGGCAATGAGGATATTTGGTCTCCAAGTGCCGAAATCGGCGAAGCTGCCGATTACGAGGAAGGCTATTATCTGGATTGCGAATGAGATGCCGTTGCTTAAGAGAACGACGCTGTTGATTGATCGGGTTTTGCCGAGGAAAACGAGGGTTCCCTTTTCTCCGGCAGCTTGGTAGAGGAGGTTTTGGAAGGCTGTTGGAGCAAAATCTATGTGGCGTTTAGAAATGAAGGGATTGTTAAAGCTTGGTATTTGTAGCTTACTGAATAGAGACAGTCCATTGTTTCCGATGTAATAGCTATTGTAAGGATTAGTTATTGCTTCATTATAAGCTTAATGATCACGCACGCATAATATGCCCAGATTTCGCGTTTGGTTGTGTGATATTTCTCGTCGATTTGACCTGGCGCCACGGTGGTATTTTTGTCCAGCACGTCGTCAGCCAAGGTGAATTGTTCAGTTACCGTACGTGGTGCAACTTTCGGATCATCCTTAGGAACTGGGTCGGTGCCAGTCATAATGAATTGGTATTCTAGAAGGCAAAGAGAGAAATATCTAGTTGGTATCCAGTGATTTTCAACTCGTTCTTATTATTCCAGCAGAGCCTGGTGCCTTTTGGACACATTGACGGTGTATCAATTGGCAAATCTCCGAAACTTCCTTTATCAGGGGCTATGATGGGCTGAGAGATAAGAATACTAAATCAGCTTCGAGTCTGCGGGGTAAACTTCGGCAGATACGAAGATCAGTAGCCTTGTGATAAGACAATTGGTGGAAGATTCAATATAATGAACGAGGGATTTACGGAGATGTATATGACTTGGTGTAGAGCTCTTCAATAATGTCGGCTTGGCTAGATGCATGATAAGCCGAGCTAGAAAGGTCTTTCATAGGCGGGACCGACCTGCCTAAAGAGGAAAGCGGGTCCCCCCCGATAGCCGATACAAGAATAACGCATTCATTTTTTTAGTCTGACTCCATACTGTATTAATCGGCGTAGCCGACCGCTGAGTCATGCCCATTCCTCTGTTTAGAGCCAGCGCGCGTTCTGGGAAAAATTTGCCTCATTCAAATCATCTAGGATCCTACTTAGGAACCTCGAGGCCACTTACTTCAGTACTATTCAATTGTCATATTGCGGTCACAATCGATCCCATATTCTTACTCAAGAAGTGGCTTTTGAGCTCTGCCGATATGATGGACCAACAAGAGATGTTTAACCCTTCAGTGTGTACAAATGGGCAATACTACTGTTCTAGAATGGCCAGAAAGCTCACATATGACAGATTCATCTGAACTACTCGCCACCTGAGAAGAAGATCACAATGCAAGACTTGCTCTTGGATCAGAGCGCATCCGCTTCTTCTATTGCAGGAACAACACCATTTCCACTACTCTCACGTGAGGGTGTAAGGGCATATAGAAGGGCCTTGTTCCAGCGAAAGGTCCTCGACCGATGTGCGAGCTCGCCGTTCCCAGGCACTTTAGTTCTCCGCAATGCAGCGAAGGAATCGAACTTCATCAAGGATTTCTGGACACATCCTCAGACAATGAGCATAGTGTCCGAAGCTATGGGTGTTCCTTTGAATGTGGTTATGCCTACAGAAATTGGACATACTAACGTTCAAGTCGAAGGAGCTACTGTTTCGGAAATGACGAAAAAGCTTAAGGTTGAGCCATCGGTCGAAAAGGTCGAATTGAGTGTAGAGGAGCGAGCCTACAACCCATTGCAGGATGCTAGTGCTATTATTCCATGGCAGTAAGTCCATTCCCATCACCTTGCTAATAGTATCCATAAGATTGACGTTGCTAAAGCTATGATTCTTATCCTTACGTATGTGTCTTGATGTTGAGCGAGACGGAGGGTATGATTGGGGGAGAAACATATATCAAGAAGGGCGATGGGACACCTCAAAAGGTCAGTTAAGATTCATGCCATCACACGAAAAACGTACGTCTAACGGCCCCCGAGGTTGAAGGACCTCAGATTGGCCATGCAGTAATGCTTCAAGGTGGTCAAGTACAGCACCTAGCTGCTCGAGCTAAGGGTGTGAAGGAACGCATATCCACTATTACTTCCTACCGTTCAAGTGTGCCAACAGTCTATGACTCCAGCTACATGACCAATATCCGACCCTACGCAAATTTAAACAGTCTCTACCCGGAGTGGATCCAGTACCGATTGCAAAAGTTGAGAGACGAGATCAACAATTATCTCAACAAAATTGAAAAAGAACCGGAGCTGGCTCTGGACAAGGTGCAACTGGAAACCCTTATAAATGAGCAAGCAGAGTACCTTCGACAAACCTCACGGCAGATGGTTTCGCCAGCGGAAGAGCAGCGGATTTTGAAGAAATATGGAAGCACGGCATACTACGATGCGCCGAGAATATGGATAAAAGTCCAATCTCTGCCAGAATTTAATATAATTGCATCTTCTGCAGATGAGAAGAGAGTCTGGATGCCAGAGAGTACCTACTGGTTGGATCTTCAGAGCTCGATTGAGACACTTCGTTTGGGGAGATCCCTTAAGAGTACAATGGGGAATTTGACTTGGGATGACAAACGGCAGTACTTCATGGGTGATGAACTTATGCGTCAAGGATTAAATGAGATGTTTTTGGATTGGCTGGGTGTTTCGGGGCTGTGGGGTCTTTATTGCAAGATGACTTGAGTGATTAGAAAGGGGGTGTCAATAATTCAATACCTTTCCTTTTTCTATTCTTCTCTTATTATTTCGCTTTCAGGTGTAAGACTTTGTGATATTCTTAAAATACCGTACCTTATACATATATAAATAACCTACTTGTCCAATTCCAAATCATATGGTGACTCTAGGTATAGCGGTGGGGAAACCAGCAACAGAAGGAGTGAAGAGAGATCAGAGTGAGATTAGCTTCTCTGGCACCTTTCTACTGAACAGCTTCTATTTCCTCTTTGGGGATCAGTATGGAGGCCTGATTCCTGAGTTCTAGACTCCTCCAGTATACTTCATATCTCATGTGTTAGACGGCAGAGATCTTACACATCTCCCAGCAAAGAGATTCATGAATACACATCTTTTAATTCCCCATGACCTTCCTTTTACATCTCCTGTTGTACCACTGCCACGAGTGTTGCTGCGTGTGCAATTCCTTGGCTATTTGTCCCGTCTGATTGTCCGACTGCCATTGAGCATCTCCCAGTATGTAGTTGAAGGCATGCAAAGGGTTTCTGAAAGCTTGACATATCGGTGCAATTGGAGCAAGTTATTTGGATACTAAGAAACCGCTAGGCTTTTGTCCCTAACAATTCTCCACTGAATTAATTTTAAACACTCATAAATCATCCGCAATAATGGCACTTCACAGCCCAGCTCCTGAGCTATGCGCAGTGGATTACCCACAATAGCTTCAACCTCAATAGGGTTGCCACGATCGACATCAACCAACATACTTGGACGAAAGTTTATTTCGCGTGGCATGGAGTCAATTGTCCGCTGCTGGATACCATCCGGTAGAGTACACCCACTGGCCGTAGCGATAGTGACAATTTCATCCATCACTGGGCGGATTATGGTCTCTACGCCACCGGCATCCATAATGGCGCCAGAATCAAGGCCTGTTATAGCGCAAACACTATTGAAGGATGCATTCCACACGAGCTTCTTCCAGCGCATGCAAGTGATGTCGTTGGTGAGTAGGCAGGATGCGCCACCGGCTCTGTAGAGCGAGGCGAAAGAAGCTGCCAGTTCGTCCTCTGTTTTCCTTGTAGTAGTCGTGTTATATATTGGGCCTAGGTGGAGAATATCGGGGTTGTCATGTCTGATCACACCGCTGCTCAATTCACGGGCGCCAATCATGCTCACGCCGGATAAGATAGTGGAATCCGGGAAGGAATCGACGAATGGTTGCTCAATACCAATGCCGTTCTGTATCAGGACAATCGTTGTAAATCGTGTAATGGCTGGAGCAATGAGATCTGGGATTGAATAAATATCAGGGAGGTTTTTCAGTGCTATAACGATGAACTGGAAAGGCCCATGAGTCATTGCATCTTGAACCGAGCGCTCAACTGTCAAGTATGGTAAGTTACGTGCTCGTATAAAGCTCCTTTATTAATAACAAGAAAACCCACTATGTGATGGACGCCAACCAGTGAGGCTGCCATGATCAATGCTATCGATGGTGAAGCCCTTCTGCCCAACTGCCGTGAAGTTTGACCTCAGCACTGCTGTGATAGTCGCACGTTCGGATTTTTCCAATGTGACGGCCGCCAAAGTACCAACCGCTCCACACCCCAGGAGAAGTATATTGGCCTTAGTATCAGGCATGAGAAGTTGCGTCAGAATAAGCTCAACGTTAACGAAATCCACGAAGTTTCAGCGACCTCGATATCCTACATTATCTACGGACATGATATAGTTCTACCAATCGCTCCACCAGCTAGAAATAGCGTATATGAGCTAGTCACTTTTCGGGAAGTCCGATCGCTTATGGATTCTCTATTCGTCCAAGGACCACTTTGACCCCCACAGGAGATAACAACAGAAATAGGGTTTAAGCAAAAAACCGAACTTTATGGTACTCCGTTAACCATGGTTACATAATGACACCTATCTTATCTCTAGAGTTTATCCCGCGGATTTTGTTGATAAGAAATCGGATAGCCCGACTGTTACAAACACCCTTTGTGACGTTGCGCGAGGAAATATTTGCCTGTTTGAATCATCCGATTGAAGTAGCTTGTTAACCCCTGTGCTGCAGGCCGTGCTCAGTGTGAGAAAATCAGAGCGCTCAGCAGTGAGTGGATGAGGTCTACTCAGTGAGCAAAAGCGGCCAGGGTCTGCCCACTAAAACGGAGAAGGAAAGCCAAGACGTGGCATAAGAAATCAAGTAGGTAAGTGATAAGCCTACGTTTTGTGATGGACTGCTTTGGGGTGTGCTGCCGTAGTGTACTCAACTTTACCATATCGAGGTGGCGCATTGCGCAGCAAACTATTACTATGTGGCTGAATAATCTATTTTAATACTTTTTAAAGTGCCGATGAAAATGGTACATTCATGCTTGTGCCATATACCCAAGCTATCTAATTAACTCGAGCATGGGTATGCTATCAATCACGCCGGATATACAATATACTCAAAGAATCCAAAGACCACCCAGCATGTACGTACATCTACCCTCTAATCTCGAACAGACGGATACGGCCCTGCTCAGCAGCAACAGCCAACTGCTCGTTTTTCGGGGAGACAGCCACAGACGAAATACGACCCAGTGGAGTGTTGGAGGTAGGCCAGTTGCGGTAGACAGTGCAAGAGGGGAGGTGGACTGTAGGATATAGTTAGTGACAAGTTCAATACAAGTAGAAAGGTATCTGGTGGCAGTGCTATACGTACCAAGTCTCAGCGCGTCACTCTTCCATCGACTAGCCATGACCATCATCTGGCCGTCAGGGGCGAAGACCAGATGGCTGACTGGCGTGGTAAGCTGGTCGAATACACGAACGGGCGTCGGGCTCCGCGGGACACCAGCCTGTGTCGAGTCGTCGTTTTGAGCTGGGACATTGCTCTTCGCGCTCGCAACAGCAGCGGCAGCCCATTCGCGGCGATCGTAGATATTCACGATACCACTGGTACTACCAATAGCCACCCAGCGATCTCCGCCAAGTTGATTCCGACCACTCTGACCACCAAGGGCAATCACGGTATTACCCACGGCACCGGCATCCAGCCAGCGCGCGATAATACGACGCTGTCGTCCATCCCACTCAGAGACCTCACCGTTCTTGCTGGCGACAGTCATACCCTCGCCATCCGACCACCAAGCGAAGTCAGCCACACCTCCGCGTCCGTCAACGCGCATCTGCGCGATCCATTGGGCAGTACCAGAGTCCAGAACGTTGATCATACCGCCGCCCTTGCGCGATGTACCGACCAGACCGACGTACCGTTCGCAGGGAGACACCTTGAAGCGTTCCATGGACTTTTGTTCTTCCTTGCGGTCTGCGGAGCCGTTGACTTTGTCCACCTTACCAGTGTCCAGGTCCCAGATGTGGAAGTAGCGGCGGCGACCGGAGGCGAAGATTCGGTTTCTCTGTGAAAAAGATGGAAGCCAATTTCGAATTTAGCTGTATCATCTCCCCGCCTCCAGTCCAATTCTCTCTAATCTGAGGATGACCTGTGTACAATGAAGTGATTAAGGCTCGCTTTTGAGATTGTGTGCCACGTCATTACGACTCCTCCATGTCAGCGTCCCATTAAACATATTATCTCGTGAGCATCGATAGATCTCATGAGTGAGATTCGGTCATAACTTTATTTTCTCTTCCTCGGGGTGTGACCTACCGGCTAAGTCAATCAAAAGCCTGACGGACATGCTAGTTCCTGAAGGCCTGGGCGCCACCTGATTACGTTACCAGATTCATTGATTCCGCTTAGTCGATTATCAATGTTTAGCTCGATGAAATCTCAATCCTTCTCAAAAAATTTATCAAAAAATGTGGGTACATTGCAGCATTTCCGTCCGGTGCGCGGTCCACTTCTGACATCGAAAGAGAAAGTGGTCCACCGTCTCTCTTGTTTGTCCACACGCACATTGATCTGTCTCGGCGGCATTGATTCGAAAGAGATATCCATTAAGTCTTGCCATACCCGTGCGGAGCTGGGCCAGCACGCTCGGCTCTTTCCACGATAATCGGTCATACATGAACCTTCATCTGAAAATCCCTGTGACTGTCAGGGGGGATAGCCTGGTTGTGATTCTGATGAAACGGCCTAAGAAAAGTGGAAATTGGCCAAGGACTCCGATGGGAGACATAATTGACTGGGAAAGTCGGCAGCCTTTTGCCAAACAGGGCAACATGTCTGAAGCTCCCTCGGCCGATCTCGAAATGGAAAATTCGGATGGAAGAGAGTTTTCATCCCCAGGGTTCTGATTATACCCAACAATTCCATCAACGGACCCGGGTTTGCGTGCAAGGGTGCCTGATTGGAAGTAATCAATTACAGTGTGTATCAAGGCCTTGAACCATGGGAGACTGCGAGATTGAGACAGAGTCTCCGGCTGCTGGGTGAAGCTACTTTCAGACTAGACATTGAATGCATCAATTACAAACTCTTTCAACTCCTTCCTACAATTAACTACAAATAAATCGATGTTTTGACTAACAACGGCTTTATTGAATGCTTACCGTGAAGACATCACAAAACAGTCCACAGGCGAGCCAAAGCTCAAGCCACCTGGCTTGATAACCACAAGGAATAACTAACTACTAGTTAAACTAGTGAGTTATTTTCCGGAGATTAATCGTGTCTGTGTAAATGATGGAGGCCGTTTTTGAATTCTGCTGTAAGCGAGCCACTAAAGTAAACATTGCTCTTGGAGGACTGCGACAGCTCCGCCCGGAGCAAATGCGCCAACTATAGGAATTAATGCCACAACATATCCACTTAGCTTGTACAACGAGGACCGTGGACAAAGGCAGATGATGTGCATGGCCGTTTAAGTGCTTGGGCGTGTATGAAGGTCATGTAAGATAGACAGTCACTGCGGCACGAAAGTTAAATTGTTACAATTTTGGGCATTCATTTCATTCGGAACTTTATACGCTCGTGATATAGTCCGTTTACCTCTCTACGGCGGTAATACGACATTTCCAAATCTGTTAAGTGTATTCAGGTTGTTTATTGCAGAAGGTTCAAGCAAAGAAATCCCGTGCTTGGTCATGATGCAAGTTGTGTATTTCAAATTTGTCATACTCCCTTTAAAATATCACTTATGGACCTAGTCAGGCCAACGCTCCCGGGAATCTATTATAGGATGGATTCAGGCCAACAACCCCACCAACAATAGAACACTGCCAATATCCTGGGAACACGGTCGTACGAATGCACAGATAGGATTCACGTTCGAGTACACTTAATCTGGTTAAATTGTACGGCGTAGAAGCACGGTTCTCTTTGCCCAAGAGGAATATGTTCCCTGAACATGAAACTAGCGTAAATATCCCACTTGTTAGGACGGATCGGTCGAAATCGGTCGCAAAACAGCTATTTAAACATGAAAATCACCCTCAGAATATGTTGCATGAGACCAATATTGACGTTCTATTCGCCCAAAACTCCCTCAGAGCATTGATACGGTAAGGGTTGATTGATAAAAATGTTCAATTAAATGAGTCTCAATTAATCAGCATATAGTGAGCCGAAATGAAGGAAACACATTTCACTTTGGATTCTTCTATATCCATAGCCATTGACCATGAACTGGCCGCAGTCTATGGTCATATGAATCACTGTTTAGATACTTGTCGAGATGCTAAAGCTTTTTTTGATGAGTTCCAGTTCCCTCGTGATTACAGTAAACCTGTGCCCTGCTTTAGCCCCTTGTTGATTCTTTGGCCAGAAAACACGCTATCTGGAGACTCAAGTCGGTCAGGAGAGCTACATAGACGAAGTGAGGAAGCCCGTGTGACCATACGACTCAATGTCTCAAGACTTCCAAAGGGCGCTACATGGCAAGGACGATTCTTGGTCGACCGATTTATCATTCGGACAGGCTTTTCGCCAAGTATACCGTGCAGCCTAGAATCGTTCGAGCAAGATGCTACCCGCTTCGGGAAAGGTGTTGTGTTCGTCCCTTTTGAAGGAGATAGCCCAAAATCTCTTCTCGCCTTCTCTCCTGTTGTACGTCATGAAAATCACGGCACTGATGTTAATTCATCTCGGAAACGATCAGATGAGATCATGATACTTAAATCGGCTATACCGTGGGAAAAGCGAGGCAATTGTCAACACACATTCACTGGGGTGTTTTCTATTGAATTTTATAGGCATTGGCCCCCCCTTAGCCTCAAATTATGAGGTGCGAAAGGAATTGTTTGGGCGTATTGATCTTACCATTCACGTGGATGTGGTAGACCCGATATGCTTCGTCACAATCTCCCCCACACTGTCTTTAACCGACCACAACCCTCATTTCACTGCGCCCAATCATGGTTCACTTGCATCTTCAACGGCTTGTGACAGTCGCGCTCAGGATACGACAAATGAAGCGAGTTCTTCTATGAGCAGCACAGCCCGTGGCTCTCGCGTGAAACGCAAATTATCACACGATTTGCGATCTGGACTCAGGCGATCGGAACGGCTAGCCAAAAAATATAGAGTTCAGCTATGACAAATACTGTACATTCTCTTAGATTGGTCTACCTCATCATGGCTGCTGCAGATAGATGAGCCTCGTGGGTGTGATCCCGATTGGTTGCTCCGCAAGTTTTACACCACGGACCCCAACGACAAACCTACATCTCCATCAGAGTCCGATCACCTATCTTTCCCCAATGGGACCCTCGGAGGGGATCCATATTGTCTACGATGAGTTCGATGGTGATGGTGAATTGTTAGAGCCAAAGGCAGAAGATTTGTCTGTGCGTGCAAGAATTGAAGGATGAATATGCGGACTTGATAGGAGACATACAAGATGGGAATGCAAAGGCAAAAATTGTTCGATATCTGGACCGTTGTAGAAACTATTACTAGTTTGTGTCGAATCACTGGGAAACACTGGGAAACGCATTTATTATGTACTGCCGTGTTCAAAATCAGATTCCCCGTCGCCCTCTCAGAAAAGAATTCTCCAACCCTATTCCCAAGTCCACTAGTCGATATTCGGATTAGCTGCATATCGTGGCTTGTAAACTGGTGACGCGCGCAGAAAGAAGCCCTAGAACCCTAGAACCCGAACAGCTAAGACAGATAGAGACGGTCTTGGCGGCGAAAATTGACCAATTAGCGGCGAGAATGTAGACCGATTTTGCAGTACGTATGCTGCCAAACTTTGCGGGCCGCTCACGCAGGGTAGTAACCCCTTCACTCGTTCCTCGTTTCAGGGCATTAGCGGCGAAAATTGACCAATTAGCGGCGAGAATTTAGACCGATTTTGCAGTACGTATGTTGCCAAACTTTGCGGGCCGCTCACGCAGGGTAGTAACCCCTTCACTCGTTCCTCGTTTCAGGGCATAATATACAGTCACAATTCATTAGTGTCCAAAACATCGTACTTAAGTCCATGGGCAAAAAGACAGAAATTCGGAGGTTTTGGCGAACCTAGAAAAATTGCGACAGGCCTTCCAGATGCAGCATATCCTGTCATATGTACGGACAAGATGAGAATCAATGAGGTGGCGACAGAGAATGTTTTCGCTTGGCCGGAAATTTGTGCGGACGATTAGACGGAGGCTGGCGGGATTGACCACAAACAATGCAGATATCCGTTGGAAGGATATGATAAAGGCAGAATTCTGGCATGCTCGCAACTCTCGGGAGGGCATTTTCACAGCAGCAGGGTTTGTGTTCTATTGTTATTAGATGTCTTTCTAGCCTATATGATTAAGGTGTGCTGCTGTTGTATTGGTTCAACAAATGACCAGGTTATTCGAGGTCTAGATTAAGTAAAACGCGAAAGGTTGTAAGATTATTGAAGCTCTTGTTGAGGTTTACAAGTACTAGAAAGGCTAGCTCTGACGGTAAAGGGATCCCTCGTTGGCAATCGACAACATTCGAATTTTATTCATCTCGGCTCCCTCAAACCAAAATCATTTATTAAACTGTCAACCACATAGCTGCTGGTATATTACCTAAACATCCGAGGCTCTTCAAATTGATTGTGGGTTAATCTGAGAAGGAAAAACAGTTCTTGAGGTCCATGAAAATGATTATAATATGTATGAACGACCACAATGTCCGGAGCCAAAACATATTGACCACAATGCATTTACGCAGATTACTTTCGTGCGCATTGAATGCTTTGCTCTTTTTAGACTTAGCTGCTAGCCTTGATGGCAATCAGAGAGGCAGCGTTGTTTTATATAACAATTGCTCGTTTCCTTTATACGTGGAAGGGGTGGCAAGGTCCACATACTTCGACACAGAGATTCGGCCCAAACGGACCTTTTCGGATCGATTCCGCCTCACCCAGGACCTCATAGGAAATTCCCTCAAGGTCTCGACCAGATGGAGAAGCTCTAAAGTTACCCAAATAGAGTACAGCGCTTGTTTTGGGAACGAAAGCAACCCTGGCTGTGGCCCGCTTGATATGGTCTACTATGATCTTTCCAAGATAAATGACCCGTCCGATGCCGAATATAGTGTCCTAATTGAGCCTAGCCTCTCTTGGTGTCCAAATATCAATTGTCCCAAGCAAGTATATCGATGTGAATCGACATATTATCAGCCAAATGACAATTTTGCCACCAAGGCTTGCGACGTCCAGACAGATCTGAAAGTCACATTCTGCTAGCAGACAATATTTGAAAGCCTTTCGACGCTCAGAAACGGTGATACTGTACTCTTTTACTGTAACGTGTGTTTTAAATCTTTGTCAAATAAAGTGTGTTTCGCAATGTTTTGTTTGGGGTTTGAGGCTTTG